TTGAAGATTTTTAGGTGACATTGTGCCACTATGCAAGTTTCACATGAAGAGCACAAATAGAGTTTACTAAAAAATTTGTTAACTCTTAATTTTTTTACTCTAACATGTTTTGGCATCGGTTTATTTCTAATTAGCTCTAGTTTAAAAATGATCATCCATAAGGTTTCCTTCTAAAACTTCTCGCATTTCAGATTTTTGGATATTCGAGTTAGAGATTTAGGGTTTTTGGTTTTTTTGGATTCCAAAGGAGGACGAATCATGACTGATTCTAAACACAATATGTGTCTCACAGTTTGTAAATTGTTATGTTTTTATGTGCGTAGCCAGAGATGAGTAAGATACCATTAAACGTCAAATCTGCCTGCAATGCTGTGTGTTTTTTGGTTGGCTTCATTTTTTGATTGGGTGTTGTTCTCCTGAATTTTTTTGCCACAAGATGTTCTCATGCATTATATCCACGAGATCATCTTGTTATTACACATGATTCATCACCGCGGATGTGATCAACGATGATGAATCATGTATTTCTTTGTCAAGTGTCTTCTTGTGTTTCATTCTAGGAATGAATGTCTGTTGGCTCATGTATATATCCTAACATTTTTAAAAAATCATGATATCTATTAAGTACTTAATATAAATAATATATGTGATACAAATATATATCAATGAAATCAAGCTATAAAATACCTGATATCATAATCTAAAGAAAATAAAACACTTATGGTTCTATATGTCTAAAACATATGCATATTAGTGATTATTATATATTATTCTGCATTGTTTACTTGCAAAACAATGCAATCATGTTTGACATCTTGATTGAAAAAAGATACCGGGTCACAAACATTACCTATGGTTAAATTAATCGTTGTGTATGGACTCTTATGACGTAGCATGCATAATATGAAGACACGCCATGGATTCTTGACATCGTATCAGATCCGTGGACTGTCGCTTCTAAAGTTGGCAGCGTCATCTGTCATGCGGAATAACTTTCCATTTATGTCGTTCCCTTTCTTTTCGCGGTAATTACGGCCCGAAGACAAAGTATCTAGAATGTCAGACAACTGTGGATCATTTATCTTTCTTCTAGTCCGGGCCCTCTATGACATCCAAAGACTGGTCTGTACATTGTATACGTTTCTAACTGAGAAGTCAGGAGACATGTCAATGGCGTGGTGTTTAAGACACATGATCTGTCGATTTCGTGGAGTATCAGTTTATTGTCTACTTAGTGCAGGGAGTTATCCTACAATACACATGTGGGATCTAAATTTTAAATAGAGACATTGTCCTATGAGACTTTCCCATTTGTGAAAAGTGATACTATAGATAAGACGAAGTCAGGAATAAGAATAGAAGCATCGAGTCACCGTCTGCTTTTCATTATCGGGTCAGATCAGAAGAGTTTGTTTGCACGGCATGTAACTTCCTCCCGACCTACCTTCTGATTAAATGCTGGGAGCTAGCACACTGGTATTGATAAAAGTATCAACAGAAAAACTAAATATGCACCAAAAAAACAAAACTTATTTGGCATTATTATTTTCCACCGATTTATCTTCAATGCTGTTCTGAGATGAGAGAAACTCAGTCATAATTCTCTTCTCACTGCATCACATATTGTTCATCTTTTACATACATTCAGTTATTACTTGACCTTTCTTTGCTTCTTTTTTGTGTTTACACATGTCGACATCAAGTTGACAGGTGGAACAATGTATCAACAGTTTATGGAGAGTATAGGATTGAAATTCAATGTGCATGAATGGAATATTACATAAATAAGTTTACATATTATTATATTGAATCAGAAAACTTTAAGTAACGTATTCAAAATATGATTTAAAATAAAAAAACCTACAACATTTTAGAATCATATGAAAATAATTTGACATTCTATCTTGCTATTTTGTCCACTCTTGGAAAATTTCAACACAGTATAATAAAAAAATCCAAGGCTTGCAAGGCGCGTAATATGAGTGTGTATATTTTAGAACTAGAGATGAAGTAAGTCTCCACTTTAATGTATCATACAATCATAGATGTTATCATGTGATGGATCTGATGAATATCGTCAAAAAAACAGTTGTTTACTGTAATTTTTCATTGTGTTCAACATTGAAACAACCTTGTATTTTGTATTTACTCTCTCTCTCATTCAAAACTTGAAAAGATTGGAAAGTGTTGACGGTTGTTCTCACGACTCCTTATAATACATATTCGATTTATTTGTTTGAATTGAAACATACTCTATGCTCAAATTAATTTCTTGTAGAAACACGTGATTATGTGTATAGAGATTTGACGTTTAGAAATGAAGACTTGCTGCATGCCAAGACCATTATGAATTATATCATTTTATGCACACAAAGAATGAGTTGAACTCATACAGAGCTATTATACAACCACCTCCTATCTTTAGAGGGCATATACAGATCTTGTTCCACCAATTGCAGAAGTCTAACTGACTGGTGCGTGACATCCCGCCACATCACACTGCTTACCTTGTTCTTCATAATGCCCAGTAGAAGCAATTCTCACATCATATCTGAAATGTAGAAGGGGGCTTCTCGAAAGAGCTGCTTCACGGAGAAAATGAGCTTCAGTCGTCAATTTGATTTCCAGTCAAAGAAGCAGCGAATAAAGTAGCAAAAAAGAAACCCCATCGAGTCGTAAATGTTGGAAATCAAGTGGGCAGTCAATGTGAATTGCAATGGTCTTGAACTCTTCGGCGCGTCCTGTGCCTGTCTTGTGCCTACTCTGTGTAGGCGTGTAACCAACTAAAACGCCTGTGACTTAAAAATGGTCAAAGCATGTGTTGTACTGACTTCCACCAAGATTGGAGAGCTTCTTCAGTTTTACTCTTACCCACATACCTATTTACTCCTAACTGGGGCGAAGGAAGAATCAGGGTAGAATATGTGTATATACGACAATTGTAGATAAGAATGTGTTCTAGACTCCAAGTAGGACAAGGATCCATGATTGTGTCTAACCTACCTCAATATGAATGCACACAATACACAACAAAAAGTTTTCTCAACTTTTTGTTGAGAAAGTCAAGATTAGTTGGTTTACAATGTACTCTAAATCAACTAATCTAGTCCAGTATGCAAATTTATACAATACTAAATCAAAATGCAAAGATATAACATCTTAGTGCAAATGTGGTCAAAGATGATGATGGAAATGATTATGCGAAATCTCAATATGATTAACAAAGTGCTAATGTATTCCAATAGCAATCGATGTACTGAGATTCATGTCATATTTCAAGATCAGCCCATAAAATATGGTTAAATGAAAAGGATGCTATTCAGAAGTGGATGTAAAATTATCCTCTTCAACTGGTTATTCGTAGATAAGACATGAAATGCACGTGTCAAATTACTACACTCTAAAACATGTCCAAGATCATGTCTGTAACCAAAAGAAATTTAAATCCATCTTTAAATCTGTATTTCAAGTCCATCTATATACAACTTAGACGCCATTATGAAAGTGGAGTTAGACACAAATCCTGTATAACCTTGTCTTTAGTGCCGAAATAAAACAAGACATGAGGACACAATCTCAGAATTGGGTGGTTATTTTGCACACTATTTAGTTGATACAGCCAAACCAATCAAGAAAGAAATCAAAGCAATATATGTGAAGTCCATATAATGACAAATATTATCATGATCTCCGCCTCACGTGCATATCCCAAATAATCTGATCCAATCTTTGTGTTCTTTTTAACATGAATCTTTAACTTGGTAAAAAGATGCTGACACACCATACACGATGTAGCACACACATCTGTACCTTCTGTAAATTGTACCAAAAATACATTTAGCACGAAGAGATTTTACTCTCAATCAAAGTCCATCATGTACTTCATTTCACAACAATGCGTCAACCCCTTGACATGTCAGGTCACAATGAGGTAATATAAGTGTAATGATCTATTCAACTTTCCATTTATTCAAACTATTTTACGAAAGAACCAAGGTACAGTATAAGCAACAAAAGTTAGCACAAAAACATGGAAAATCTTTCGAATAGGAGAATAATTATTAGTAATTATCCAATTCTCGATTATTTCTCCTAACAGTTTTCCGTAGTGGTCCGGTTAGGTCCAGTTGAACTGAAATGGGAAAAATAGAAGAATTTTCTGTTCACTGTCATCTTAGGCAAATTAGAAATTAGCGCCAAATCAAGCGAGAACTCCTGATTTACTCTTTGCTGTCCCCTTCATTCCCGCATTCGTAGTCCCGGGAACAGTGTTAGGTGCGTCGTCTATTATTGTAAAGAGAAAACAGGGCCCGACGTAGAAGACTGGGAGTACAATGTACAGAACATCCGACTCTTATCCACTCAGTGAACGTTAAAATCTCCGCTGTCAAAAGGCAGCCCGCAGCCTGCCGGTAGCATGAGGTCGAGAAAGCGGCAACATGACAGTCGCGAGTCGTGCCGGTAGCATGAGGTCGAGAAAGCGGCAACATGTCAGTCGCGAGTCGTGACTAGTCGAGTCTGTCCGGACCCCGGAATCGGCTCGGGGAGCGGTCAGATAACGAGCAGAAAACAAAAGATCGGAAATGCTGAGAAGCTGCGACGGACTGACGGAGGCGAGGTTCCGGCCTTGACTCCAGAGCACAGTAAATGCGGTCTGCAGTCCTGAATCTCGTCCAGAACATTCCAGATCGACGATTTGCAAGTTCTTCTCGTCCAAATATTACCGACGGTTGACCTCGATCGCTTCCAGATGTCCCCCATTCTCTGGCAAGCGAGGGGTTTGGTGGAGAAAAGGCGCGGTGGTGCTGGAGGCCCCCAAGCAGGGCTTGCAGAAAGAGAAGGATTCCGAAGGCGTGGGAAGGGAGGCAGTCCTGTGGCTATGGCGGACGAGAGGAGGCGGCGGTGGGGGCCCACGAGCCGGCGTGGAGGACGAGGACGAGGAGGAGGAGGAGGAGAAGAAGAAAGAACACAAGAAGGAGCGCGGGCAGCAGCAGGAGGAGGAGGAGGAGGAGTGGTTGTCGATTTAGAAAAAGATCCAGGAGGAGGAGGAGGAGAAGGAGGCACAAGAAGCCGGGGGCCTGGCGGTACCGGGCCAATGCTGAGATCGAGGGAAGACGAATGGGCAAACGACAAGTCCGAGTTCGTTCAGTGCGGTAGTAGGAGTAGTATTGTGCTGTGGCCGATTCAAAATGTTTGACCAGCAGTTGGTTCGAGAGTGAGAGAGGGTGGATGTCTACAGGGTCGCAGAAGACGACTATGCCGAGGATGATGCGCAGGGCGGAACTTAAACCTGACGATGGGGAAGAAAGAGCAAGTTTTGGTGCGGAAACTTCTGCCACTTTTGGGCAATTATAAAAATGATTGACTGCTGCCGCTGCTGCTCCGCCGTGGCGGGTCGGAGAGCGAGGGGTTGGGTGGATGCTGTGAGGCTGGAACGCTGGAAGGCAGGCATGCAGGGTGCAGGTTTTGTTGTTGTTGCTGCTGCTGTCGTAGTTGTCACCGATTGAGGTAGATGTAGTGAAAGTGTTGTCCGAGGACGCTGGAAGGTTGGTGAATTGATAATGACGCACGCGCGGGGAATAATAGCAAGATACTTCGCGGTGGCTGGTGTCGAATAGCTGTTTTTCTCTCTTTGTGAATGGTGGCGATCTCCACTCTCGAGACTGCCGTTGTGTGTTGTCTCGAGCAGTTTCTCGTTCACTTTACACAGAGGAGTCGCACCTTTTCTAGTCGCAGTTTTTCTGGTTTAATTTTCATCTGGATATCTAGTCTTCCATGCGACTCGTGGATGCTTTGAACCTGCCTTCTCAATCGAATTTCAATTCTTCACACGGTGACATGAAGCAGCTGCTGTGAGAGAGTCCCTGCATATCTGGTCGAGTGGGACTCAACAATTTGCTTAGGGCTTAAAGCTCATCTGTTGCCGAACCTTGCCCGTGACTATCTGGCTTACACTGGAGATGGCGGCCTTTTCTACTTAGTTTCAGGGCCTCATTGTGACTCAATTTCCTTGCAGATGTCCAAGGACATTTTACACCTTTCCAACAGAGTCGATATGACCGAAGAATTCGATCGTGGGATACGGTTAAGAAGATGGTAGATCACAGGGGAGCAGCACGGAGCGGGCTCCTGGGATTGTCGCGACGGAAGACTCATGCGACTGGGGAGGATTGTTTGTGGATAAGGATGTAGGGCATTTCAACCTGTCACCCTGCTTAGTCGTAGTGGGTTACGAGTGATCAGTTGTGGACAGTAGGTAACAATGACAACGGAAGTGTGGGGTTTTTAGCAGATGTTGATGCAATGTCTGCAACAGAGGAGACTTCTCCTGTGGCTGGTAAGAAGACTTCTTTGGCCTCGACACCCTCTTCTCCAGGGCAGTTAAGATCATCTTCGGTTCCATCCTCTGTTGCTAGGTCTCAAGCGTCCTCTCCTCGCACGCCCACCGACAGCAGGCCTTTGGCAACCTTGCCCCCTCGGTCTTCTGCTGGAAGCTCCCCACTTCTTGCATCCAGCAATCCCAAATCCACCCGAGGGGCATACCATTCCCGCTCTGCATCCGTGCCAGCTGCCAAGGGTGGTACTTTCCCTCCCTTTCAGCCGCCTTCCTCCTCTGAAAGAGTTGGACGCGAGGAGTCCAGGTCTTCTCCTCGCTCAACGAGGTTTCCCTTAGTTCGTGCTAAGTCTGGACCACAGACCATCGAGTCTGATCTCTTCAAGCCGTTTTCGGAGAGGAGGTCTGGGCGTCAGCGCCAATTACCGCCTCCTGTCAGGAGCCAGAGCGGAGACGGCAAAAGGCAGCTTCATTTGAACTTTTCGAAGGCCCCTGGGTTTGGTCAAGATGATGGAGGACAAGGACCTCCAGGGCCACCGAGCGGGGCAGGCTCTCCCCGGTCCCCAACAACACCTGAGTACGGCAGTGGATCACGCAGAGGTACAAGTCCGAGAGGAGAAGAGCCGCACCCGAGGGTTGTCTACATCAATAATCCCGAAAGAACTCTCGAGAATCACCCCATGGCCAACAACAAAGTCCGAACTAGCAAATACACTTTCCTTTCTTTTTTGCCCCGAAATCTTTTTGAACAGTTTCACCGGTTCGCCTACATTTATTTTCTGATTATCGTCATCCTCAATCAAATTCCTCAACTCGCTGTCTTTGGACGAACTGCATCCCTCTTTCCGCTCGTATTTGTGCTGGTTATTACAGCAATTAAAGATGCCTACGAGGACTGGGGCCGACATCGTTCGGACAGGACAGAGAATAATAGGTCGTCGCTTGTTCTTCAGGACGGGCATTATAAGCCCAAAAAGTGGAAACACATTCGAGTAGGTGAGATGATCATGATTCATTCCAACGAAACCGTTCCTTGCGACATGGTGCTGCTAGGGACCAGTGATGCCACTGGTATAGCGTACGTCGAGACACTGAATTTGGACGGTGAGTCAAATTTGAAGAGCAGGTACGCAAGACAGGAGACATCTGCGCAGCATCCAGAAACGGGTCCTGTCTCAGGGACGCTTATATGCGAGACTCCGAATCGGAATATTTACGAATTTACAGCGTACATGGATCTGGGCGGCAATCATCTACCATTAGGACCGAAGAACATCATTTTACGTGGCTGCGAGCTGAAGAACACCTCCTGGGCAGTAGGATTGGCTGTTTATGCTGGGCGTGAAACGAAGGCGATGCTGAATAGCTCGGGAACGCAGTCCAAGAGGAGCAGGCTGGAACAGGAAATGAATCGCGAGACATTATGGCTTGGAACCTTTCTTCTAATTATTTGTCTTGTGGGAGGAATTGGCATGGGAGTATGGATCAAGAGGCATGATAGCGAGCTCAACAATATTCCATATTACCGAAAGAGGAATTATTCAACAGGGAGGGATGGGGACGATTACAGATACTACGGAATAGTCGGGGAGGGTGTCTTTGGCTTTTTGAGCTGTATCATTGTGTTCCAGATCATGGTTCCTATTTCATTGTACATCTCCATGGAGCTAGTGCGCTTAGGGCAGGCGTATTTCATGACTAGAGATTTAGAAATGTACGATGAAAGCACAGACACGCCTTTTCAGTGTCGGGCGCTGAACATCAACGAAGATTTGGGTCAGATAAAATATATATTCTCCGACAAGACAGGGACCCTCACCGAAAATAAGATGGAGTTTTTCTCAGCGAGTATTGATGGTGTGGACTATAGTGATGCCAAGGTGTCCCTGGATTTGCCAGGAGAAGCCGAGGGGCCTCCTGAGGTCGCCGAGCTCGTTGCAGGTGTGTACCTTTTACCTTCTTCGTAACCTTTCAAAGATTCCTAGTCATGATGGGGTGATGGAATTACCAGCTGGTGTTTCACGGGAGTCGAAGCAAGAACTTTGAGATCCTTTTCTAAATTCTCCCAGTTTCACATGCGCTTGATGGAGAGAAGCGGCAAAGCTTTTACCTTGTAAATGCATAATAGTTATTTTTTTGCGATCTTCGTCCTTCGTCGTCCAAATTAGCGCATCGCTCCTATGCATATTCAAAATCATGAGTGCGTAGACTGGGCGAAGTACGTCCATATCATTAGTGTAATGACAATTTCCCTTTTGTCTGCGTGGGGCTCCCCAACTTTTACAGAATGATGTTAACGTTAGAAAGTTCCTACTTGCTTTTCCTACCTCCGGTCGAGTCAATATCCGTACCCTTGTTTAAACGGAAGACATTTAAAAAAGGGTACGGATTCCAATTCTCGAGAGTGATATTCTACTAGGGTTCTGCATATTTGCCTAATAACTTGTAGTCCTGAGTTATATATTGGCTTCATTGAAGAATCGGTTTGGAAATCTCACGCCGTGAAGAGCCACGTGCAGGGAAGCTTGCAAGTGTGGCTCTGAATTCTGAGAATCATGCGCCTCGGTTGTCACTTATGAATTTCGTTGGACGTTTGTATGATGGTTGGATCGGTCGGCCTGCAGCTCTTTTGAATAGGCGAGCTTGGAAGCCGAAAGTAGGGGCGAAGGTGGACCCTAATCTAGTTAGGGTCTTGCAGAACTCTCTTAAATCAGACGATAGTGCAGTAGTGCACGAGTATTTCCTGGTTTTAGCTGCCTGCAATACTGTTGTGCCGACAATGGTTAGCCGCTCAACTACGACAGGTCAGCTCGAGATGCAAGCAGCCTCATCGGATGGAGGAGCCGGGTTAATGGAATATCAAGGGGAATCACCTGATGAGCAGGCACTAGTGGCGGCAGCAGCTTCCTATGGCTACACACTTCTGGAAAGAAACTCAAGCCATATTGTTATTGATATTCTTGGTGAAATCCACAGGTACTTGTTTTGATTTTCTGAAGGGAGTGTTCTGGGCTAAAAGTTGAAGCTTGAATTTGCGGAGTATGGGACTGGGGACCTCTTGCAAATGCCGCAGTTGAATTTCAAGCTTGAATATGCAAAGTAATACCCAGCTGTGTTTTCTTATGTTGTGATCTTCGTTAGACATACAGCTTAAGAGCGAAGAACGTCTCTAACCTTTGTGTCTAAATGCAAAATGTCCGAGTTGCTGTCGCTTGTAGCTGAGTGCCTTATTATGGACTTGGAAGAAGTCCATAACAAAAGTTCGTTCGATATTGTCTTACTGGACGAGATGTTGATTTTTCTGACGTTGTTTTCTTTTCCAGGTTTGAGGTTTTGGGAGTGCATGAGTTCGATAGTGTGCGAAAGCGCATGTCCGTCATTATAAAATGTCCCGATGGGACAATTAAGCTTCTCATGAAGGGTGCAGATACAGCAGTGTTAGATATAGTTGCTCCATCAAGTCTGAAGAATCTGGCTGCCAGAAGTAATCAGGATGACTTACAGACTGTTACTTTAAGTCATCTGGATCGCTATGCCAGGGAAGGTCTTCGAACGTTGGTTGTAGCGACTAAAGATCTCGATCAGAAGACGGTTGACAAGTGGAGGATCCAGTACAACAAAGCAACTAGTGCTCTTGCCGACCGAGCAGGTTTGCTACGTGGTGCAGCCGAACTAGTTGAGAAGAATCTGACTCTAGTGGGTGCAACTGGTATAGAGGATAAGTTGCAAGCGGGTGTTCCAGAGACCATTGCCCTCCTTCGAGAAGCCGGTATACAGGTGTGGGTTTTGACTGGGGACAAGCAAGAAACTGCAATCTCGATTGGGTTCTCTTGTTTGTTGCTCACTCGAGACATGCATCAAATTATCATCAATGAAACATCTATGGATGGATGTAGAGAGGCATTGGCTAGCGCGAAAGCCACGTATGTAATACGATCGGAGCAGAAAAAGAAGAGACAGTTATTTAGGTGGCCAAAGCAGACTGTTGATAATGCCAGTTTGGAAGGCCTAGCTGGGTCACTTGGTTCTGACTCGCATTCTGAGCCTTTGAATAGAAAACCCGGGCAACCTCTTGCACTAATCATTGACGGAAATAGTCTTGTTCATTGTCTAACGGAAGAACTCGAACAAGAGGTAGAACTCGAGTCTCTACTTGCTTGCTTGGAATTTGTTACGAGGAATGTATTTAGAGCTGTATAGGAACTGTGTTACTTCACTCGACAAAGAGCTTGCTCAGGTTCTGGTTGTTGCCGGGAGAAGTTTCGAGGCTCCGAAAGTAGGCTCAGTATGTCTCAAGTCGCATGGATCCAGTTTCCATTAGTAACTGTTTCATAACAATCAAGAACATCTCGAGCTACAGTCTGCATTGACGCGATACACTCTTTTGCACCATGTAGCTTGAAAGCTTTAGTAAATTTTCCGTAGATTTTTAAGTGAAGTAGACACCATAATATCAAGTGAGAATATTTAGCTGTTCCTGGAACATCCCACTTCAGACACTCAGTATGTTTGTTCTATTCTTTGCAGCTCTATGAAGTTGGAAGGGTGTGCAAAGTGGTTGTCTGCTGTCGTGTCGCTCCTCTCCAGAAGGCTGGTGTAGTCTCTCTAGTCAAACGTAAGACCAAGGATATAACTTTGGCAATCGGAGATGGTATGTTGACCCGCAATTTGCTTTTTCTCTTCATTCATTCAACTTATTGAGCATATATAGTTTAGTGCAAGGAAACGTCTATATTATTCTATCCACTGACGTCGACAGTTGATGTTTTCAGGAGCAAACGATGTTTCGATGATCCAGATGGCAGATGTAGGAGTTGGTATTAGTGGACAAGAAGGCAGGCAAGCCGTGATGGCTTCTGATTTTGCCATGGGGCAATTTCGGTTTTTGAAGCGCTTGCTATTGGTCCACGGTCATTGGAATTATTCACGCCTTGGCTACATGGTTCTCTATAATTTTTATCGCAATGCCGTATTTGTAATGATGCTCTTTTGGTGCGTACTTACTGCTCGTCCGTCCATTCTGTTGCTCGTGGATTTATTTAATTGTCGGAGATGAAAGTGGTGTAAGCTTGAGTGAGGGGTTTTGTCCGGAAAATAAAACGTCGTCCTACTTTTCGCAGTTTGGGTTTATTGGTTCTAGAATAGCAGATACTCAGTGGTGTTTATCTGATGTAAGTGCAACGTCAGCATCATTGATTTAGTTGTAATACTAAATCAATCCAGTGTCTTGTACATTGCAGGTATATTTTGTACACCGCATTCTCACCTCAGGCTGCTATAAGCGATTGGAACTTAGTGTTCTATTCTTTGATTTACACCTCAATTCCAACCATCGTTGTAGGTGTGTTGGATAAAGACGTAAGCCACAAGACACTTTTGAGATATCCCCCTCTTTATATGACCGGTCAAAATGGTGTCAGCTATAGCCAGCCACTATTTTGGGCGTTCATGATGGACACTCTGTGGCAGAGTCTGGTGCTCTTTTACGTACCCTACTTCACGTACAGAAATACAACTGTGGATATCTGGGGAATGGGAAGCCTGTGGACCATTTCTGTTGTTATATTGGTGAACATACAGCTAGCCATGGATATTCAACGGTGGACGTACATACATCACCTTGCTGTCTGGGGTTCCATTTTAGCCACGTGGATTTGCATGCTTGTCATGGATGCACTTACTATAGAGACCCTGCTTCCTCAATACTGGTACGTGGCCTTCTTTGTTCCAGTTAAGCCGAATAGATGTAGAGCTTCTTGCAATTTGCGTTTCATACACAACTTACGAATACAATTTAATCTATTTGTGCTCTGATGTATTTTCAGGGTTATTTACCACATGGCAAGGCATTGGAGCTATTGGTTTGACATTCTCCTTATTCTTGCTTTAGCTCTGTTGCCACGTTTCTGTGTGAAAGTGGTTTGGCAAAGCTTTTTCCCGTCTGATATACAAATTGCTCGGGAAGCCGAAATCAAGGGTCATGACGGAAGTCGAATGGAGCAAGGAGTCGAACTCAGTGAGGTTCCTCATTCTCCAGTGCCCACATCCTCGACAAGTTCTTCATCCACTTCACCTGCTTCATCTCCAGCTGTCTAGAACTTTAGACTGAGATATTAGGGGGTAGATTAGAATCACACCTTTCATATTTTCAAACTCGCACCAAGTTTTGTAGATCAGGTAAACTTCGTGTAATTGAAGCATGGTCCATGGGAGTAGTGAATCCCAAGTAGGACTTTGGTAGCCACCAATCACTTTGTAGAGTTACAATGTATTGTTTACCCTTGCACCTGAGTTTCCCCTTTGGGGTTGGCCTTGTTGAAACATAAGCATGCACATTGCATGATGCCATGCCTTATGAAATCATTGTGATTTTCAGCGCAATGGCTGTGAATGGAGGCAAGGGCAAAACTATTCTGGTGTACTGTACCAAAACGCAGATGGTCAGCTTCTCGCTGGACCAACTGATTTAAAGTTATCAACCTACAGTATCAAAGAGAAGTATGCCTTTGTACCCATTCTATGTATCATAAGCACATTCTCTTTTATTACAAAATATCTTTGAATAAAGGTCGGGGTCTATTCGAAGCAGAGAATAGTCATCCATTTTATGGCAAGAGGCGGACATGGAGTGAATGTTGTATGTGAAATCAAAAGATCCTTCAAACGATTGGTTCCACGCAAGGGAGGAAAATACACATATTGACGAACCTCAGCGCTGTGATTGCGTAACGGCATACGCCATACATATCTACCCAAACAGACGGGACTGTACCTGTGTTAGTCGTTGGCCCTTGGTGAACATTTTTGGTTTCGCTGAAGATGTCTCTTGGGGTTAGGGTAGATGTGTATGTGTTGCAAACTCAATACGATTGTTGCAAACCCCGAGCACCATCTGAAATTGTTTTTCATCTGCTCGAGTAGTGTATTGGGGTTAGGGTAGATTTGTATATGTATCAAGAGTTCAATATCATTGTTGTAAATCTTTATCATCATCTGAAATTGGGACTATTTCACGATTAAGAAATATCAAATGATCACTTATTTCTTCATTCAAATACTTAACGTAAACATTAGTTCATGTTTTAAAAATTGTATTAGTTGATGTTTGCCCAGGTTTTTATGTAAACCTTTTGGTTCTATGTTTATGGTTGGATTATTAGATGCAATATGTGAAATCTAAGTTGGAATGGATTGTTTGGGGAGCAGAATGCAATCTTACATACACATGAGCTTTGATATAATCTTCCCACCTGTTTTTAAAATGGATATTTCTTGACCTGATTTAACTGTAGCCTGCATTCCTATTAGCGTTGCGTTTGAGCAAATGCTAGAAGCAAGATCAAAACACATATTTTTTGGAAAAATGTTATTCGACAAGGTGTGTAACATACCACAAAGTTTATCATTGCTCATTTAGCAAGCATCGTCACTCCGTCTTATGCATGTAATCAAACCGGACTTGGATATTACTTGACTATAGACCTGAATGACGAAATTATTTCCAGCTCTTGTTGCATTTGTTATCCCGTCCATGATCGCATGAAAATGAATAATCCATCCTACTTGTATCACCTGATTTCTCCGGATTCTATTGGAATATATTTATTTACAATCTCCAATTTTTTAGCAAGATGAACAATGACCCAGGGAAGGTTGTAATTACACTTAGGTTGCGTCGACTTAATAGTTGACTTAACCACATTTGATTCTTTGTCTCTGTAATGCTTCTTATGACTTTTGCATGATGAAAGCTCTCTACGGACTTTTTTTCTATAATTCCGGGTGGAAATTCCCGTATATTTAATTGATATTGTTTAAGAGTTTATTCGATTTCTGTAGAACATAGACTACGTGTAGATAGTATCCATGCCTTCTTGTACAATTTTTCAGTTTGTGCATTCCTTAAGTTTAGAATCGAATCACTACTTGCATGCATGTTCAAAGTACATACATAATGTTTGACAACCATGGATTCATTTGATAGCCATTATCTTAACAGTCTTCAGCTTCATCTATGAAAACCTATGCTTACTATTCTATTCATTTATGTCATATTGTTCATCATTTAAGTAAAATTTTTACCCTTCCTAACATTATTCAACTCCACAATCTTGAAATAATATAATTGAATATAATATAAAATTTCACAAGCTTCATCTTATGCGTACTCAAATAATGGTCAAATTAATCTAGTTTAAATTGTTCAATATAAAATTAATATGTATTTTTTATGAAAATCAATTTTGGCTCCTTTCTTATTATCTTATTACAGAACGAAACACTTCATTCAATCATGATTGAAAAAATTTAAATAACTTCAAACTTTTCAATGTAGTAAAATTTTTCAATTCCAGAATTTCAGAATGTCTATCACTTCTATAGCTTTTCAAAACAATCATTGAATCGAAATAATTTTATACTCATGTTATATTCTTACACATTCATAAATTTATTGCAATCTAATAGTCATTAGCTACACATTGACAAAGATTGCTGCATTTCCAAACTTAAGCGGTCTTCTTCATACAATTAAATGCAAGGATTAAACTTTTTTTGCATAAATCTAGACATAATAAGAAAATGGAAAAAATAATTTTTTTTCATACTTTCAACTTCAGAAAAGTGAAAAAAACTCTTCATGCACATTAGTTCCTGTCATCATGAACTTACCAACTCCTTCATATTTCTCTTGATCTTCTTTATTTCTTCATTTCTTTTTCATATTTTGTTGATTGATATGCATTTGAGAATGTATGTGTTAAAATTTTATTGAAAATCATGTATTTTTTAGTCTTATCAAAGTATCAATGAAAAAAATTAATTTTTCATTCATAATAAGATACTCTTGACAATTTTTCAACATTTTATTAAGCTCAAATTCCTAATCATCACTATCAATTAATTTTTGTACATCAATGTATCAAATTTATATCTTTTTATCCAAAAAAGAAATTAGGCTTATTTATTTTTTAATTTTTTTTCAATCAAAAGGAGATGATGTTGACTCCACAGAGTTCCAAAATTAAATACAAATAGTTCAGAAAAAAAGATTCATCAATTGACAGACAAGGTTACTTTCAAAGAAAGACTACTGAGTAAAAAAATTGTTTTTTTTTCTTGATTGCTAATTTTTTAGAACTTTCATGTTAAACATATTATAGAAAAAAATTACAGTGTTAGACAATCTCGACAGTTTGAAGTTTTGCATCATAGATTTTTAGTTATTTGATCTGAATCATCTCTCCTTATGTATCAACATGTGTAAGTTGATCATTTTTATGATTGAATAAGTGAACACGCAACCTATGATACTTTATCCGAATCACTGATTTTTTTTAAAAGTTCCTTTTAACAAATTTTAATTGGAAAAAATCTCTATCTGCATTGATGTAAAAAATGGTTCACATCAAGAATTACATATCCTACATCCTAAACATATCCTCTTTTTCATATTTTATTCATTCATATTTCCATCCTAATGTATAAATGTAGTTGTAATCTTCACCATTAGCTTAATGTAATGTAGGGCCACTGAGACATATCATTGATGATTATCAGAATGCTTTATAAAACAAGACAGAGGATGTCAATATATAAATTCGAATTTGGTAATAACAAAACTGTATTCAAGGATTCAAAAGCAAAAGGGTTGTCTACGCTGATGTCTCAATCAATATAACATGCATGACAATTTTGAATGACTTATGCTCACAAATGGCATGCAGCTAGATGTTTATTTAAAGCATGCTTTAAATCTTTAAATCCTCATGCAATCAATCCTGCATCCTACAATTAACTCATAAAACACTAAAATTCTCTGTAGAGAGATTTATATCAAAAGAAATCTTTCTGTTGTATATAGATGGCATTTAATTTGGATATCAAATGATTCCAATCTTGTGTGATAGATAATCTAGTAAATAAGCAGGGAAAAAATTTCTACTCTGTCTCGACTTCTGGAATATAAACAGGCTTAAAATAAGCAAAAATGCTCTCCGATCTTTAACTCTCAACGAGAGAAGTCAAAAAGGGAACAAGTCGGATCAATCCGAACCAAATTATATTGCGCAGCCGGGGAATCGAACCCCGGTCAGTACCGTGGGAGGGTACTATGATACCACTACACCAGCTGCGCTTGTTGACAACTATGAGATGTCTATGATAAATAATCTTTAGAATTCACGACAAAAAGGAGAGGTATCGTGAGCATGTGCAGAAGGTGCCGGCCCTGGATTTGTGAACAGAATGTTCATGGCAGGACGGGGCGAAACCTGGACCGAGCTCTGCACTCGCAGCGGAGCCAAGATCAGATAGTCGGCATCCACTTGAACTTAAGTGGTAACAAATCTAGCGATCCCCATTCAATTGAATTCTTTTGATTCATTTTCGAAAATGGAGGTGCCTCATCCGTACTCGCCCGCATCTCTCGAGCTTCCCGGCTTCGTTCCTCTTCAGCTGTCGCGCGAATTTATCCTCGGCGTCTTCACTGTCTTCACATTTGCCGTCTTCGGCCTCGGCTACACTCTCTCAGGTGCCCACTCGATTGTCCGCATCTGCTTTTTCTCGCCCTGTACCCTAACGCGATCTGTATCTCTCAGTGAAATTTGTCGCGATCTCTGCGTTCTTGCCCCGTCGCCTGCTTTGGCGGCTTTCGGCGTGGTCGAGCTCGATGTCGGAGGAGGCTGTTTGACAATGCGGGTTGCTTCGGTGCCGCAGGGAAGGTCAAGTCGCTGAGCAAAGTCGATCGTCTGCTCGTTTGCTGGTGGGCGTTCACTGGGCTCGTGCACTTGGTTCTGGAGGGCTACTTCGTTTTCACGCCTGATTTTTACAAGTTGAATCCTTCGAACTACTTTGCTGAAGTCTGTAAGTCTCTTGCCCAACTTCCTCCCACCGGATGATTTAGTGTAGATCGAAGGTAGTTGCACCAATGCCGTATTGACCATGGCGTTGGATTTCGCAATAGGGAAGGAGTATGGAAAGGGCGATTCCAGGTATCCCGCGCGTGATTCTACAATTGTCCTGATCGAGGGCATCACTGCTGTTATTGAAGGACCTGCGTCCCTTCTGGCAGTGTAAGAGCTCTGTCCTCGCCACTTCCTTTTCTTCGTCTATGATGCAATAGGATCGTCCAGATAGCCCTTTTGTGGAAGCTACATTGATTATGCTCTCTTATCGAATAGAAGTCATAGATCATATGCAATCCGAGTTAGGATATTCTGCATGTGGGCCCATCAGGCGATCGCATTTGCCAGTTTGTGACGTTGGAATTTCTTTGGACGGTGCAGCTATGCCATTCTAACGAGCAAGCCTTACGCTCATACGTTGCAAATCGCAACATCCTTGGGGCAGTTGTATGGAGACACCCTATACTTTGCCACTGTCTACTTCGCCGACACTGAGTTCTCAGCGCCCGGCCCCATTTACTTCTGGGGTTATTTCATCTTCATGAACAGCATTTGGATTATCGTTCCCATCCTAATCGCAGGCCGATCTTGGAGGTACATTTCGAAGGCATTTTCAGCTCAAAAAGTCAACGGTGCCAGCAAGAAAAGGAAATAGAAATCTGGAGTCTCAGACGGATATCTGTCGACTGCCATCTATGTCGCGGGATTTGGCCTCTTGTTAATCACAAACAAATTCCGAGGACATTGTATTTGTTACAGTGAGTGTAGGTTACCTTAGACTGAATTGTCAGCGTTCCAACGATGCGCCAAAGGGCATTCCAAAAGCAATTTATTTCAAGGCTTCAGGTGCAGTTTTAGCTTCAGGTTTAATTTCCTAGCATCGGTGAATGCTGAGTGTACTGAGCTCTCCATTTGATCTCACCGGAAGTAAAGCGGATGGGAGATGGCTAGTTGAGGTGTCTAACAACTCACAACCTTCGCAGCTGCTTTTTTGTGATCATGATCATATCTGGAGGCTGCTTATCCTCGTTCGGCGGAGCTCTAGCTTGGAATGCTGAAGATTGTATTCCTATACTCTTATGTGCAGAAATTTAGATATCAAAATATTGACAGGATTTCCGCACGAACGAATCAAAGAATTGGAATCCTTAAGTTTAAATCTTTTCCCAAGCGCTTTTCGTTCTTGAATACAATCGTTTAAACAATCACTATCAAGTCTCCCAGGGCAAGAGTGAATTCCTCCTCTATCCAGGAAAACGGAGAACGAAACCAGGGATAATGAAAAAAACGAATTCGAAGCCCGCAAGAGATTCTCTCAAACAAAATCCCAGTTCCAGTCCAAGAAAGATGATCCCAATTCTTTCAGGTCCAGCAACTCCGTTTGCGACCTGGACTTTTCTCAGGCCTCCGCATGCATCTCATCCTCCTCTCGACACTGTGGCGCAAATCCTCAAGTAACTCTCACATGGACCAAGGTATCAAGCCCAAACTACATTTGGACTCCCCCTCTTGACATTCATATTGATAGAAGTATATCCTACAACGATCAAAATATAGTATTTCATGAAATACTATATGAACAGAACATATCTTTCAGTCTTTGATAACTCTGCCCCTATGTACGTCCGTCATAAATTGTGAGGGCTGTTGTGAACATCGCAATCGGTAGTAGTTCTATAACTTGCTATTGTCTTCGCATCATCTCTCCAGATAGCAACTGCTTCCATCATATCTGTAGCACAGTTTGTTCCCACGAGTATATACATCTCTTGCATGTTTACTCGCTGGCAAGGAAGTCCTGAAAAAGTCTATCCCTTACTTCTTGAAAGATTGCCAATGATAAAAGTGGCTTCAGAGGTCATCTAGCTGTCAGGATGGACATCCTAAGTCGCTCGAAGACATCGCACTAGTTTTATGCTACTTCACTTCAAACGGGGGTTCAAAAGGATCTTTGGGAGTTGCTCTTGAAGGTGAATCGAATCACCCTCAAAGGTCGGAGGGGCAATATCATCTTCGTCTTCGCTCCCACTTCAAGAGGACCAACTCCTTGTAGAGTCGTCGACAGTTTTCTTAGGCGCTGTCGTTTCCACCAGTTGATACTTCGTGCGCTCATTGGAGGATGTACAATCCATGCGAGCGTACAAGGAAAGAGATATAAACGATCCCCTTCTTCTCTTGAACGAAATTCGCTCGTAGCGCGTCTGTACAAAGCGAGCAACAGTCTCTCCCGAATTGATCTTGACCGATTGGGTCCTCGACTGTATGGACTTTGTGCACACTGATGTACGTTGTCCTCTACGAAACCAAATTGTTGATTCAAGATGAAAATGGCTTTTACACGTCTAAAATCGTTTTACACTAAGTCCAGCTTGAACGTGTTAGAAGACATTAGTTCTCTAAGTCAAACACTACTCCTGGTATTGTAGCCGCACCGTTTCTATCAGCCCAGTCTTGTTCTTCTTTGAAGTTTCAGTTCAATGCCTACGCTCAAATTATCACATCCCCAGCATGAGGGTGAGATTGTCATCGAAATGAGTTTTTCTTCTTTCTGGCTAAGCTCCGGGAGCACATATTCTCATCTCAACCTCCACTTTGTTCTAGCATGCGCAATTCTAGCGGCGTCTAGTCAGTGGTCGATACATACTCGCATGAATTCGTTGATGAGTGATACTCGTATCATTTTCCACAATTAGGCTTGGGATGTGGAGTGATTTTCATGAGCACTTGAGAATTCATCTTGAGTCGATTGTTGTACGTTATTCTCAGTCTCAAAATGATATCGGTGTCTAATACGTGTAGCTAACAAACTGTACAGCTCACATCTTGACGATCGAAAACGAAGAATTCATTGCACGTGTCTTTGACCTAGATTGCTAATCCGATGCATAAAATACTCTTCGTTGCAAATAAATATCCCTTTTTAATGGAAATTAAAATTATTTTCCAATAGTTAACACAAGTCTATGATATCAATATATTGAATCTTTAGGAAAATAAATCATAGCTATCACTAAATACTTTTAATATTCTCTTGTTACTTTTAAAATTATCATATTTTTGTGGTAATGTTATTTTTCTTTTTTCTTTTGAAAAAATGAAATTTGAGTAGTAGATGAATAGGAATTAAAATTTTTAGTATAAGAATATTCGAAAGTACATTAAATAGTGGATTCTGTAGTAGATACCAAGTTTGAATTAGTTGAGTTCATGTTGGATATCTCTCTGTTGGAATTAGTGTTTTTACTTGTAGGCAATAAAGTTGAATAAGATAAGTTATAATCTACTAGAGTAGATGATTCATAATTTTGTCAATAATTGTTAACTTGACTTAGGCAGAATTTTGATAAATAGATCTCGGCGTGCTCATTCTAACGAGCCCAAGAACTCTTGTAGCAAATGAGGGAATTCGGAGTTATGAGAGTAGAAAGTAGCCGACATGGTAATGCGAAGACGAAGAAAGGCCTTCAGACTTCGACGTAAACACCTTCGGCTTTACAGCATAAGGGCCTTCGGCTTAGTGAAAGGTGGCACAAACCGGAAGGGAAATTTGAGCACTTGTACCACCAATTGGCATGCGTTCACGAATGCCAATTGGCGTCGAGAGACATTACGGAAAAACGGAAGTTTCGCGCCGACATTTCGCAAGATAGTAGCATATTTTTAAAAGCAATTTTTTTCAAAATTTAAATATTCATACTATGTTCATCATACTCAAAGCATTTACCACGAAACTTTCCATGCCTCAAATTGTTATTTTTATGAATACATATGAAAAACATACCAAGTAAAGTTTACACCCATGAAATCAAAAGTTGTAACAAACAATGTTGGCAGATTTAAGTTTTTATCAATATGAAGCATATACGAATACATACATATTCAAAATTAGAAAAATAAAACCTTGTTAAACAAAAGTCATCAAAAAACATTTTCATGAAAAAAATCATCATCATATTATCCTTGATTCCACAATAAAATTGATCGAAGACAACAATAATGACATAATAAGCATAGCAAAATAATCATATGTGATTATTCCAAATTTTATAATTTTGCTTGATAATTTTAAAACATCTCAAGATAAAACTATAAAATTGGATCTCTTAATACCTTTGATTGTAATGCTAGTTTGAAGTACTTGCATATTTACATTGATTAATTAATAAAATTTCCAAGATAAACTAACACTGATTTTTCAGTACAAGCGTTCTTGACCATATTAAGATTACTCTTGTGTTGAGGATGAAGTGAAAATACTATCTATAGACCAATATTAACTTCCGAATGCATTTCAGTGTTGACTGAAATGTAATAATACACATGTAAACAATGCAGGTATCAATGTTCACATGCGTATGATATTTGACTAGCCTAGCTTATTGAGCAGATTTGATCTTAAACTCCGTACTCCGAGTGGGGCATCCGAAAGCCTTCCCATCGAAGGCTTTCGGATGCCCCACTCATCTACGTGAACAACGTAAAGTTAATATCATGAACAATTCTAAACTGTTAAAATACTCGACGATGAATAAAATTTATCTTCGGAACATTAGAAAACCGCAAGAAGAAGATTAAAGGCCCAGAAAACACTCGCTTTTGATCCGACAAGAAGAGTCATACTCAGAGGATGCCGAGACCTACTTGGTCTACCCTTTCTATCCACGAAAGATGTGACACGCGTGTCATTTGCTTGTTTGCTAGCTAGGCCTGTAGGCAAACATTCCTAGGCCCTCTCTGTGGGCTCACGGCACAAACGAATGCGAATTAGTGTTCCAGAACAAACCGAACGGAACGTGATTTCCACCTGATTTGCATCAATAAATCAAGCACGGACAAACACAAAGTCTCACGCAGCTCAGGCCTGCCCGTGAATCCCGACGAGGCGAAGACCTTGCCGAGGCTCGTACGTGCCGTGCTGTCAATCATTTTCTGTCCTCTTGTTTGCTAGGTCACAGCATTGACCCCGCTCGCATCGAGCGTTCCAGGATCGCTGCCAAGCTCGCGACGACTTGCGGGAAGTCGGTGATGAAAGGGATGCGACGTCCCGAGCAGGAGACACCCTTTGTAAGGAGGTCGCGCAATCCTCGACCGCGACGGGCGCGATTTCGGGAGCACTTTTTTAGCTGAATTCGTCTCCCGCCGTCACGATGGCACGGTGTTGGGGCTTTTGGAAGGCTGCGAGTCGCGCGATGGGTTCGGAGTCAGAGGGTTGGGCCGAATCGCCGCTAAACACCCGGGGGCTATTTGGCTGGAGAGGCGAAGGGCAGACAAAGGGCTTCGCGAGGATCCAATCGAGTGATCGGTTCGATTGCTGGAATATGATTCAGCGAATGCGACCGGATTCTGAGAATTCTAAGAATTAGTGAACAAAACTCGGGCAGCGAGGTGGTGTGGTGAGATGGCTGACAATAAGCTTTTTCGAGGGAGTACCAGGTAGGCACTTTCTCGAAAAGCACGGAGTGCTGTAGGAGTCCCAATGGGCAGCCCCCGTCGAGCCGCACAGGGATGAACCGAAACGGGTATTATGGAGCTAGACCCCGATAGTATCACCGTGGAAATTATTTTCTACTGCCCCTAAAAAAGTGGCGTCACGAGGATTTTGTCCTGTGGATAGCCCAAATAGTAGCAAGTTCTGCTTATGATATATAAATTTCAACGTTTTTGTTGTGGTTTCTTTTTTTGACCGAAGCTGAAGGGAGGGGTCTTCTTGAAAGGCCGGATGAGAGAAAAGGATTGGAGCAGAGATTGCGTTTTGCGTGATTGTTTCGCTTCAGTTGAAACGACTACGTCTTCATTGAGATTGTAGCGGACAATGTGGTTGATCTCGTAATAGTGGAGAGGACTGGCGTTTTTTGGACATGTGGAGGTTTCAATTTAGTTGCGACAGGCGGAAATTTGAAGTGTGTGTTCTTACGGCAGTAGGGTTTTAGGAAGAATTTCAGCCAAGTCTCGAATTGGTACGCTATGGAGGTTGAAAGGGTTCCCAGGAGAAGCCTTGAGGCTAAAGCTTTCCTAAGTCCAGGTTTGGGAAGTATTGCGCAGGAGGCGAGTTGTTGTGACGAAAAATGTATATGCAGTTTTTTGACCGAGCAGGGAGTGTAGATGTATTCTGTTTTGCGACTTCTCATTCGAATTGTATTTGATGTCGGCTAAGTGCCGGGGGATTCTTATATATCCCGCTGATGATTCGCCAGGCCCAGAGACCTCGAATTTCTTTTGGTAAACGTCGATCGCCATTTTGGATCATTACATCCATTCCATTATATTTCAGCATCGTGTCTTGGTGTGCTTTGAGGTCATACTGAATACTCACCTTATTGATTTTATCCATTTTCAGAGGTTGCACGATCGTGTTTTGGCCCTTCCAGAGTCACAAAGACTAGTCATCGATGTGTGGCAAGTGAAGGGGCAGAATTCAGAAATTTTATATACAACAATCATCACCTACGAGCTACCAGAGTTTCATACTGAGAGCGAAGTCTGAGAAGGAAATAAATTGGTGGAGAATTGCAGAAACATGGCCTGTCCGGTAGGCTCTCTCAAGGGAACCACTCCAGTGGGGCCTTTGGAGCTGCCAGAGGAATTACTTCAAGCCCTAGCTGGAAGAACACAAGAAGAAGGGTTGACCAATATCGCAGATTTACCTGCGGTCGTTGTCGGAACAATTCTTTCTCGGCTTACGAACCCTTTCGATGTAGCTGCAGCCTTCAATGCCTCGCGAATTTTCTGGGCCGTCCGTCAGACCGTCCCTTTTCGACTGAAACTCCGCCCCAGTCGGTACGATGATGCATTCTCTCTTGCCCGAGCACCTGTTGGATGTCCGTGTACTCCGTTTTCACTCCTGTGTTTTTTGGCATGCAAAGTATTGTTCAACTAAGTGTCATGCCTTTCCGTTAGCGCTAGAGATTTGGATGCTCTCAGTGCTCTTTGGTCTAGGGGACTGATAAACAAACTTGATAATCAAGTTTAGGTAGAGATTGGTCAGGAGTATACTGCAGAAAATTGACAAGAAGAGTCACAGATTCCTGCTAATTATTGTAGAAAGAAGTGTTTTTTTCGTAGTGCGTAGCAGTTTCCTCTGAAAGGCCGTAAATTCTGAACTAAAATTATCATCGTTCTACAGGTTAGGATATGATGCACTCAAAGTAGTGACCTGGACACGGAAGGCTGTCTCCAGTATCAGACGAACAATGGTTGGTACTCGAGAGTTGGACCTGGCAGTATGTCCTATTTTGGATGAGGATGTAGCTGCAGTACTGGTCGATCTGCCCAACCTGGAGCAGCTTATTCTTGATGGCTGTCAAAAATTGTAATGCTACAATGCAACCTCTTAGATTTCTATTTGAAACAAGTTTTGAATCTTTCAGTGTAGCAGACCTTAATAGCACCTTGTGATAGGCTCAACTTTAATCTTAAACTTGTGTCGATGAGATTGATATTGGGAGATATCCACACTGTTGATTACTTCGCGTGTTTGGCAATTATTTTGAACGAACAAACTGCGAATGTACTGCAGGACATCTTCAGTTGCAGATGCCTTAGCAATGTCTGTACGATCAGGACCGCGAGTACTCAGTCTGCAGAGATGTTTTGGTCTGGGGCCAGCTGCAGCTGGAAACCTTTTAGTAGCAGCAGGAGCAGCAGACGGTTTCCGGCTTAAGACATTATTGTTAAGCCATCTGGACAGGTTGGACCTTCCCCGGGATCCTCCTGCTTTAGAGACATTGGAGGATGGTGCAGAGAAGGAGACTTTAGAGAATGTGGAACTGGTCAAAAGTATAGTGAGCCGAGTTCCCGGCACGGGTCTGCGTATTCTGGCTCTGCACAATTGTGGCAACCTTGGACCATTTGAACTGGCTGCTATTGTAAGTCTTACCTCTGCCTTTTTTAATTATTACTCCTATCAAAAACTTGAAGCTTACCGTGAAGCTTACCGTGTTTTGGCTGAACAAATAATCACTGAGAATATCGAGAACCTTTTTCTTGCTTCTAAATTTCCTGAGGATATAATTTTGAATCAATTCGACCAAACTTCATGCCTGCGGTTCGAACTTTTATCACTACTGAAAAGTCTGACACTGCTTATATACATGTATAGGCTGAAACATGCCCATGTTTGGAGATTTGGATGCTTGGAGGCTCAACCGAAGGATTGAATCTCTCCAGACGTGTTCCTTGGGAAGGAGGCTCAACTGAAGTATCGGGTCTCTTGGAACTTGTTCATTTGGAAGTTTTACATCAGGAAGAAACTATCATCGCTTCTTCTGCCGTAATAAGGGCAGCAAGGCTTTTATCTCGGTTGCGGATTCTTGAAATCACATTTTTTTCTACTCCTGTTCTGCGAGCAGTCAGGTGTGCCTAATCTTTTCGACCGTTTGTGTAATGTACGAGTAATTGGTGAACATTCTTGGTTGCATGTGGATGAGTTTTGTGGATGTGGATATGGTAGTCTCTCAAGGAGTGAATTATAAATCTCGGTTGTATATGTGATACATGCAGGGCGCAGTTACCATCTGGTATTCGTGTTTGGGACTTTTGCGACGGGGAGTCTGTGACGGCAGCAGCAAAATTGATATCCACCTTAAAAGGTTGTAGCATGCCTGTCGATTGCGAAGGGCATCAGCTTAGGGCTGGTGTATATTCAGCTTCTCCTGATTGTGGTGTTGGATTGGATTGGATACCTGAAGACTTGAGGAATACTATACACTTAGCTGAACCAAGTACGGACGAGATGAGACTGAGACATTCAGGTAATTTAGATGAGGGGTGGGACAGTTCTGTGGACGACATACTTTTGGCTTTGAAGGCGGCGACCAACTGTTCGGGCTTCAGGAGGAGGACCCCGTTGCATGTTGCTGCTTTACGAGGTGACTCTCATGTGACAGCGAAGCTGCTCTCTATAGGGGCATCTGCGAAACAAGGGAAGGACTCAAATTCAGCCACTGCTCTGTTTCTCGCTGCGGAGAGTGGTCATGCGCAAGTTTGCAATCTGCTGTTGAAAGCAGGTGCAGACGTCCTTTCAAGAAACAGAAATGGAGAAACTCCTCTTTACATCTCGGCCCTGCGAGGGCACTCTGATGCCGTGGGTGTCATGCTCGCTCATTGCCACGAGCGAGGAGTGAATTGGCAAGATGCTGATGTATATGGTACGTATCTTCATGATCCTTCCATGTCTTTTGATCAAGTGAATGAAAATCTCATTTTGGATGCGCAGCAATGCTTCACGGGAAAGGTAGTTTCGGATTCTTGGTCGTGTACATTGGAATAAGAAGTGAGGAAATGTTTCTTCTGTTGATTTTTTTTTGTGTTTATGGTATTCTTAGTGGTAGTAACTGGGTTCCCTCTATCCTTTGTAGAAAGGAACCTTCGTACAAAGGATAAGATCCCAGTACCACGAAATTTGAAGAATGGCTTTAAGATTGGAGGGCCACAATTCTCTCTTCTTGCTTTGTCCTACCAACTTTATAGTGAAAGTTGGGAGGTCCTGGTTTAAATCAAATGTGTCGCTCAATAGAGCCTGGTATTTGCGTTTATTTGAAAGTGCGCAAGCGCAATGCATTGGGGACAATTTAGTAAGGAACGACCTCGAACGTTTTGCAGGTGATGGTTGGACTCCTCTGATGGCCGCCACAGTGGCTGATCGACAGGCTGTGGCTAAAGTTGTGCTGGACTTCGCTCTATCTAGTCGTGAACATCACGAGGAGACAGAGTCGAGCAAGTTGGACCAGGTCAATAAGCCAATCGGATCAAGAATATCAGCTCCACCACTGGTGGACGCACAGAATAGATATGGACAAAGTGCACTTCATATCGCGGCCCGAAAAGCATCTACTTGGTTTGTGGATTGTCTCTTAAATGTTGGTGCCTCTTTGGACGTCAGAGATAATTACGGCTTGCGACCCATTGATGTGGCTCGCAGCCTGCGACATTCAGCGATCGAAGAAAGCTTGAAGAAGTGGCAGGAGACACATGCTAAGTCGACCACCGGCGGCAACAGCGGGAAAACTAGTCGAAAGAGGAAATCGAAGCTGAAAAAAGCCGCGGCAGCTGCAGAAGAGAATAGTAATGCTTCTGCTGAAGCTAATTCGGCTGCGGAAGAGCAAGAGAAAATGAGAGCCGATGTTCAAGCGCTTGAAGCAAGCATCCATGAATTCCATGAAGTAGAATATGCCGCGGAGGTCCTTGCCGGGCCTGGCGACAAAGAGTTATCCTTAGGAAGCTTAAGTATGTGAATCGATAACAGCAAACAATTTTCTTGATTTGAAAGCCTGGTGGAGAGAGGCCCATTTCCTTCATATGAGCCTTCTATTCTCTCACAAGTGTATTAACTGTGCCCATTTGCGTAAATTTCCGCTAGTATATAGTAAGGTTACACAAGTATGCAATGAGGGTAATAGAGAATGAAGTATCAAGAGTGTTGAATTACCAAAGGCTATGGTGGTGAAACGTGGAAACCTGTCATATACCTTACGGTTATCCACTGAGTACCATTGGCTAATGTTGATTTCACATCACCTTGAACAGGGTGCTTAACATTTGGAAAACATCACCCTAGAGAAAGGGACACCTTTATCATATTTTTTGCTAATTGCTAACATGATAATGTTAGACGAAATATGTAATGAAACAGGAATAGAGACAAATAATTCTTTGCACACTCAAAACACGTGAAAGAAGTTTGAATATCTGGTTAATTTATTATACATCTTTTCAGTTCTCTAACGTGTTATAGAACATTTGAAACAAGAATTCATGCTCTCATTAGGTTGGTACTTTCGTGCAGAATTTCTCGCATCAACTAAAATTTTGTTTTACACTTGTCAAATTTATTCGGAAGCAACAATATACATACCTCACATCACATATTAATAAAATGATATAATTCTGATTTTTTCATGAGTATATATATGGATCTTACACTTTTAACACAAGTTCGAAATCTTTTTCTAGTAAGATAAATTCATCTTAGCAATCGTAAAAAAATCTAAAATGTTATATATCACATTAAAATAATATAGATGATATCAAAACTAAGTACATACGATATTTATTGGAACTTGATACACCTAAAGAAAAATCACATATGAATTATAGTATAAATGAGTAGTTGAAGTTAAAAAGAATCCTCATGAAACATGTTCCACATAAGTATTGGTTCCACTCTATTAAAAGTAGATCTTTTATTGATTCCAACAGTAAACTTGAGCACACCACCCGTACAAATACGCATTATTTTTTAAAAAAAAAAAACAAGTATCAAGTTTATTTAGTTCAGCATATCATTTGGCGCAAGTTTTGAAAGTTTTTGAGTTTGGCTTTCAAGATGAAAATATTACTATGAAACAATTCAACTTTGAATCAATTGTCTAATATTACAAAAACAAATTTGTTTCTTTTCTATCTTATAGCAGAACAACTGATTTTCTATATCAACAACTTTCTTATAAAATGATTTGAATTCCTTCAATACAGCGTTGTTTCCTAAATCTGAATCTTGAAAGGTAAGAATGTCATCATCATCTAGATTTTCAAAGTATAACAACATTGCAATTGCAATACTTCAATGTTTTCATCATCAACATGAACAAATTTTTCAAGCTCTTTTTGCCCAACAAAATGATTTAAAGCTGCTATAGCTTGTGCAAATCCAATCACTAATAATTCCATCTTGTTCGATGCCTCTTGATTGGCTTGTAATGTCATTATATTTGCCTTCACAATTGCAATTTTGATACTACTTGATGACAAAATTGCCAAGCTTTTTTGACATAACTTGCAGCATCAAGCAAGTGAATGAGTTGGATTTTCATATGCAATTCCAGCAGCATCACTGTGCAACCTCTATACATGCAATCTTAATGAAATATTTCTCTCCTCATCAAGTCTATAGAAGTCAAGAACATACTTGAAATAGAGATATTTGAACCTCTTCTTCAGAGCTGTAATTATGTCCATTTGGTATGGCTCATTCCAACTTGTGCAATTTGGAGAAAAGAAGACTAATCAAACATTGTCGCGTTTAAAAGCCTCATAGCGTCATGGAGCATTTTCATTAGCGAAAGAACCTTATGTCCGGTTAGTTTTTTCACCTCTAGAAAAATCACTTCCTTGAACCATTTCGAGCACGTTTCAACAACCATCCAAGCTTTCACTATACTGTGATTTGAGATAGGCCATTGAAGATTCTTAATACAAGTTGTGCTTTTGGTGTATCTATCAATGAGCAAATTATGTTGTGAATTTCCACAGAGAAATTTGATTCTTGGATTTTTTCTTCCCTCTAGTTGTTGATATGTACTCATTCATAAAAAATTTATATTTCGATGGTAAAGGAAAAAAATCCGACTTTGTCCATATTGTGGATGTTTTCAAAATCACACGAAGATATAATTATGTAGAGTTTGTCTAAAGCTAGTAGCAATCTAGTATCAAATTTGTGGACTTCAAAACTTTCATCCTCAAGCAAGATCTTTAGAAATACTCAAAATTGATTTAGCCATTTTTTATATGACTTTAAATCATTTTTTGGAATTGATAAACTTGATGCGATACTTTTTTGGTGTTTTTAACGGTGCAGCTTCTTTATGTTAAGTCTCAAATCAAACAAATTGAGTAAGGTTTCAACCATTATTAATAATTCAAACACGCAATTTGTTTGGAGTAATCTGAAATCAAATCTAGTCGCAAATCTACGTGCTCATTAATCTTGAGAGGTACAAGTCCTTTTAGAGAGTCAACCTTTTTGAACTTTTGCAGTTCTTGGAGTCAAACTTCTTAACTTTTGTAGTTCTTGGAGGAGCTTGAGAGTCATCTCAAGTTGAAGATTTGATTTGAACACTCGTCTTGCCCTAAGACTAGCAGTGTGAACTTCATTGCACGGTAGGCGACGGGTGCTCAGCGTGATGGCGTTGTTGTGTTCAGATGCTAGCGCGCTTGTGATGGTTATAAAATAGGGGAGGGGCTAATTATTCCTCAACTTAGGCTAATTATCACTCATTCTACAGAAAAAACCTCTGTCATTGGTCAGAGTGAATATATGAAATAGATGGGGGTTAGTGCTTCAGTACAAAGGGACTCCAAGACTGCTACCGGCCGAGATTTATTAAGACTTAGAGTCAAATCTTCTTTTTCCTCCAAGTGTGAACCTCGGAGACTCTGGTCCTATGCGCTCATCAACGGTGCCAAGGAATTCCTATCCCTTCCATTGGCACCCACAACCGCGTCGATGTTGCACACATCAGCTCTCCGCCGAGGTCATTCATTCACTACAGTGTTGCGAGTGTTGGAGTTTATGTAGGACTGTGAATTGCGCATTTATCAGTCGTGCACCTTTTGTCCAAGAAATTGTACCATGGATCCCGCGGTTGCGCGACATACTCTTCGTCCTCTTGGCACTTTTGTAACTAGCACCTTTTGCATAAGAAATTGGACCATGGATTCCGCGGTTGCGCATCATACTCTTCGTCCTCTTCGCACTTTTGTAGCTAGCACCTTTTGCATAAGAAATTGTACAATGGATTTCGCGGTTGCAGAGCATACTCTTTGCACTTTTGTAGCTAGCACCGAATCGACTCAATTTGTCTCTACCCTCGCATTCCTCCGATTCCATGCACGACGAAATGAATAGAGCCAAAGGCATAAAATCTATCTGCAGAATTTTAGAAGAAAGGTGAAACCCTCTAGATGTATAGCAAACATGTTTTTAGCCTTTGGTGGAGAACTCTCTTATAATGAAGTATAATTAACCTAACCTGAGGGATAAGTAGCCGCTACCTAGAATAGTTGGAACAAGGTTTCTTCATGATGGTCTAAAGTACTCACATACTAGTGAAGTAAGCAACTTTATTCTAGGTTCAAGTTGTGTACTGAAGAAGAAGAGTACTGTAATTGTAACTCACACTGTCATATACATGCTCCAATAATACAGATTAGAATTGTATGAATTGTATGTATTTATATATTATTAGTCAATATATAAATGAATATATTGACTAATAATGTACTTCTTATTTCAAACTTTGCATTCACAAGAATAAAATAATAAAATGATACAAAATACATGAAATTAAATTTTAGTTTTTTTCAAAATAACTGAGTCATAAGACTATAACTTTCATTCTCCTTACATCACTGTAAATTAATAATTTATATTATACTCCTACTCTCAATCAGATAAAATGTTTTTTCTTTAGATTAGAGTGTTTCACACACATTCTATGAAACCTGTTATATTTTCCATGTGATGATATTGGAAATAGTTAGTATTCTGTATAATTTTATGGAGTACTCTATGAGGTTTTATCCGGTGGAAATTCTAAGGTCAAATATCGAAGCCGGTAAGACAATTTTGGAATTTGAGGATACGTTTTGAGCTTATTCATATATTAATTATAAATTTTACACTCTTCGGCCTTTCACATGTAGCTTCTATAGCTCAGTTGGCTAGAGCACCCGTTTAGTAAGCGGGAGGTCCTGAGTTCAACTCTCAGTGGAAGCAGATTTTGGCTGACTCTTCTACCTTGGTCAAGCCGTCGGGGCGATCCACGTTATCACGAGACGGGTACATCTACCGTTTTGTTGAGACTGCGCTGTCAATCCGGCGAATGGGAAGAATTTTTTGTTAACTAAGTGAAACCCGTCCGAGCTTGCAAGGTAGTTGTTTGTATGTATACTGTTGCGTATAAACCAAGACAAAAGATAATGGTGTCGAATTATTTTGGAAACATCATGTTGATAGCCGGTCTTCACATCTTTAACTTCGATGTTTGAAGCTTTGCAACTGATGTACGTGTTTAATTCCGTCTACTAACTCATCTAATTTGTTTACTTTTTTGAGTGATGACAAATTAGATGCTCGGTTAAATTGTAGAGAATAAATCCTACATAATGATACATCTTAATTTTAGTATGACATATTTACCACAGAGATACTATAGTGATAAACAGCATGTTGCCATTTGGTTTTAGTCTTGTATTGCTTGATGTGGTTTTCAATGTTCATAACTTTCTGTTTCTTATTTGTGTTAGTAGTTAACTTAGGTATTCCGGTAACTCATGTTAACTTGACCCAATTAGTGAAGCTAATTTAACTGTCAATATGTAGGTAGATTTGAAGTAAAGATTGAAGTGTTTCGTGGACGCAACACGTAATCTGGTGTTGGCTTTGCCTATGGATTCTCATGTTGACGTGTCTCATCGTGGTGAAAAATTGTACACTTGTTAATAACCTCTTATGTTATATGTTTTAAAAGATGTACCAGGAAGAAAGTAAAATTGATGAGAAAATCACAGGAAGCCTTGCAAATAAGAAAACTTAAAAAAATAACCAAAGTCAAAGTTCACATAGTTCAATTATATTATATATGTCTTCAAATACCTTATGTGTTCAAACTATCAAGATTAAATGTTCAATATGAATATCTTTGCTAATACTTAACAAAATTGTCTATACATAGATGGGACTAATTACTAGGAGGAATCGTTGAATCTGTTCAAAGAATAAAGAGCATGCCTCATAAAAAGGGGCAATTTATTAATAAATGACACCTTTGCCACAATTAAAATTGGACCGATATCACAATTAAACTTTCTCTTACAACAATTTTTTAACTTTAAAATAGGTGGGAGACTAGGAAAGCAATTGTGACATGTGTGGAATCA